TCCGCCTGAGCCAGCTGCGCGCCGTGCTCGTGGCCGATCACCTCGCGCGCGCGCTGCGCGCCCAAGGGTAAGTGCGGGTCACAGGGAGGGGCGTCGCGGTGCCCCGCCCCCGGGGTGCAAAACTGGGAGCGCTGCCCTTGTGTCGCAGGGTCTGCGTGCGCCTGGCGCCCGCCCTGCGGGACCCGCACATGCAAAACTTACTAGAGAAACTAAAGGTTGACTGGCCCACTGCCCCGGAGACTGCCTCCTCCATCCCCACCTTGAGGAGTCGCCTGCTTGCCCAGCTCAATCCCGCTCAGGACGGGGAGCCCCTGCCCCCTGGCGCCTTGGGACGACTGTCCCTAAAGGATGTGGCGAACGATCCAGGCCACAGAGCCGGCTATGATCCTCACGTGGACAACTGTCTGGGTAGGATCTGAAGCCCTGCTGGCCCTTAAAAAAAAAGGGTGTGTGTGTGTGGGGGGGGGGGGAACCCTCTGCAATCCTGGCTAGTCTCAGCACCCGTCTGTTCTTGCAGTCACTGAGGATCTGCTAGCCGTGCTGTCTGAGCTGCAGGAGGCTGTGCGCCATTGGCCAGAGGGCCGCTCCCCAGATGCGGTCAGTGGCTCCCAAGGCCAGAGGCCTCTGGAGAACCGGGTGTCACACACCCTGGGAGTAAACGCTCCTCTTCCCTCAGAAGGCTGGGGCTCCCGTGTCTGGGGCTGCGGATGGCTGCCTGGCCGTCCACGTGGTGAGCTGTGAGGAGGAGTTCCAGCAACAAAAGTTGGACCTACTCTGGTGGAAGTTGGATGAGCAGGCGCCCGTCACCCAGGTGGGTTAGTGGATTTAGTGAACTATTGGGTTAGTGGAATTCGGGGGGGGGGGGCAATACTAGACATGGGGGCCCCTAAGTTCAAGGCCTGGTAGTTGACTTTAGCAGAGATTGAGTTATTGAGCAGGCCTGTGCATTGTGGTGATTATGGGTGGGAGGAGTCAGACTTGGCTCAACCAAGCTAAGCCTGTATCATCTTCCACAGAAACACCTGGTCTGTGGCCCAGTGAAAGTAGCAGGTGCAGCTGACAATCAGATGACTGCCTCTGAGTACTATAAGTAAGGCCAGGAAAAAAAGCTCCCCTGAAGGGGCTGGGAAGATGGCTCAGTGGTAGAGCGCTTGCCTTGCTATGTCTCAGGCCCTGGGTTCGATTCCTCAGCACCCCATAAGCAATAAAGAAAAAAGCCGGAAGTGGGGCTGTGGCTCAAGTAGTAGAGCGCTAGCCTTGAGCTGAAGAGCTGAGGGACAGCGCCCAGGCCCAGACCCCACAACCGGATTTCCCCCCCCCAAGAAAAAAAAGCTACCCTGAGGTGGGGGGGAGGTGGGGGGTTTTTTTACTAGGATGCTGTCTACCACCTCTCCCGTCTCTTCAAAATACAGGCTCCGGCATGCCCAGGTGTGCAAGGCCTCAGCACTGAAGCACGGTGGGGATGTGACCAAAGGTGGGGCCCATAGAGACCCTGGCTGAGCCCTGGGGTAGGAGCAGGTCATTTCTTATCTGTCTTGTTCCTTACCTGCAGACTTAACTGACTGACCAAACCTCTCTACTCTTCCAGACCCAAACTGGACAGAGATCTTCGGGGTTCTGTGTGCCGCCACAATCAAGTTTGAGATGCTAAGCACAGGCCCTCAGAGTCAGGTAAGCCTGGTGGCTAGGGAGGACATCTGTGTTGATGACCATTTCTTGTTGTTTTTGCTGGTTGTGGGCCTTGAACTCTCTGGGTCTGGGCGCTGTCTGTCCCTCAGCTCCAGGCTAGCACTCTACCACTTGAGCCACAGCACCACTTCCGGCTTTTTCTGCTTATGTGGTGCTGAGGAATCGAACCCAGGGCCTCATACATGCAAAGCAAGCACTCTATCACTGAGCCACCTTCCCAGCCCATTGATGACCATTATCTGCAGCTTGTGTTTGTCCCCACTCCCAGCTCCTCCTGGCGGACAGCAGCACCTCCACAAAGAGCACGAAGAGCGGCATCTTCGTCATGTACAACTGTGCCCGACTTGCCACACTTTTTGAGGGGTATGAGCGCAGTGTAGAGCAAGGCCTGTACCCCCCTTTCCCACCAGTGAGCAGCCTGGACTTCTCATTGCTACACGACGAGGTAAGCGCCCTTTGAAGTGAGCTAGCAACCAACGAGAGGCTCGGCTTTTCTCTCCCAGCACCCTTGTTCCCCATAGGGTGAGTGGCTGCTGCTCTTCAATGGTGTCCTGCCCTTTGCCGACCTGCTGAGCCAGGCTGCAGCCCTGACCTGCGCAGCGCCGGGGCTGCACGTCACTGCGCGCACAGAGCTGGTGAGACGCGCGAGACCGGACACTACACACACGACGCTTTATTGCGGGACTGGGACACAAAAGCAAAACACAGAGCAGTGACTCGGGTTCTGTCTCTAGGTGTGCAAGTTCCTGGTCCAGCTGAGCATGGACTTCAGTTCCTACTACAACAGGGTACACGTCCTAGGGGTGAGCACACAGGAAGAGGGCGTGTGTGGGGGTACGGGGAAGGCAAGGGAGACAAGCAGAGGATGAGACCACCGGTTCCCTTCTCTAGGAGCCTCGGCCACACCTCTTTGGTCAGATGTTTGCTCGCCTCCAGCTGCTGCGGGCGGTGCGGGAGGTGCTGCACGCAGGCCTGGCTATGCTGGGCCTCCCTCCGCTCACCCACATCTGAGGCCGCAGGAGCACCCCAACAGCTGGGGATATTTACAGTTCCACAGGGGAAACCAAAACTAAAAGTCACAGATGTTAAGGAGCTTGGGCCAAAATAAACTGTTTCCGTTCCAGACTCTTGTCCTGGTCTGGTCTGGGAAGTTGGGGGATTCCATCCAGGCAGCACTCCACTCACCTTTAACTCCAGCTCTGGACTCGAGCCTGCGGCTGCCACCTCCTCTTCCTGGAGGTGTGCTGGGCATGGGCACAGACAGGCGATCCCCACTTCCGCCGTCCTGCAAGACCCCTTGCCCAGCGGGCAGGCGCCCTACTTGCCTCAGTCATACCAGTTGTACACCTCGAGCCCCTGGCCCCCAAGAGCACAGCGGTGACCAAACTCGGGGCTCACAAGCCAGCAGTCCATGTCCGCCACGTCTGGCACGTGGTACACAGCGCTGTTCATGAAGGTGGGCTCGCCGTGTCCTAGCCGCCAGAAGGTCAGCCGCTGGTCAATGGAGGCCGAGACCATGAGGCTGGGGCTTAGGAGCTTAAGGCCAGTCACGTGGGCCGCATGCGCACAAGGGACCGAGTACTCCTCCAGGGCGCGCAGCCGGGGCACCGGCTGGGCCTCGTCCTTGGTCTCAGTCTCCCCAGGCTCTGGCATCTCCACAGCAAGCACAAAGATGTGGAGAGAGCCATCCTCACTGCCACTGGCCACGAGATGGCGACCGTCGGGCGTGGGCAGCGTGTGCAGGCTGTTGACCCCGCTGCTGTGGGCCTGGACAGTGAGGCAGGGCGCGCCTAGGTCTGGGAGAGAATGCAGCAAGCAGTGAGGATGGAGGGCAGGGCAGGGAGGGGGCGGGGCCATACCACTAATCACCATATGGGAGGGCGGGACTGGACCACTCACTGTAGGAGGGCGGGGCTGGAGGCGGGGCAGGACCACTCACTGTGTAGGAGGGCGGGGCGGGGGGCGGGGCAGGACCACTCGCTGTGTAGGGGGGGGGGGCGGGGCAGGACCACTCACCGAAGGGCAGGGCGGGCTGCCCCTGGGGCTCCAGCACGGTGGTGAGGTCCCAGAAGGCCAGGCTGCCATCGGTAGCTGCGCTGCACAGGAGCAGCCGCCTGGAAGCCAGGGATGGGCAGCTGCGTTAGTGAAAGGGACGTGGGGGGGGGGTCCCCGCGGGGCATGAACCAACCCCTCCCAGGCCGGCCGGGCCACCCGCCCACCGCTCACCGCCGCTGGTCTGGCGCCTCGTGCGTGAACGAGTGGACCTTGAGGACGCATCGCTTATGGTGGAACGTTTCAGCCAGGAGCTGCAGAATTCGCCCAGAGTCCTGCAGAAGGAAGAGCCTGGGGGCGGGGGGGGG